GCTGCTTACTAATAATAACGTAGCCCACTATCATTTATTGGCTGTGGAAGCCAATGTCGTATAGCGCCAACGCTCAGCATGCCGATTGTTCTAGCATATTGCTTTCGTTCCCAAGAAAAGAAAAACAGGCATAACAGAGTAATGACGAGCGCAATGGCAGTCGATCTCTCTGATTGTTAGCCAAGCAGGATAAAGGGAACTCAAAGAGTAGACTCAAAGGCTAAGGATGATGTGATATCTCACTATTCTGGTACTTTCCCAGTGGCTGGCTCAACAAACCTTGCGACACTGCCCGCCTGCAAACATCAGGCACAGGGTTATGGCAGTCGGTCTCTCTGAACGTTGCCCAAGCACATTTGGGAGACCTTCTCAGAGAGTAGCCTTCAATTGCTCACTTGGCATGACACGATTATAACCGACTCAAAAGCTTAGGCGAAGGTGATTGCAAAGATATATGCGGAAAGTAACCTCCAGGATAAGGCTGTAAGACGGATGCGTCCCTAGATATCAACGTTGCTTCTGGTCCGGTCTCGATTTCTGCTACTGTATTGAAGGTATTTATGTGCAGCGGAACCAGCTCGATGGCTATCGCGTCTCTTTCAGATATCTAACGAATTCAGTACTTCCTGGATGTGGAAATTTGCTCATGCTGGGCCCTTTCCAAAAAGAATCTAACTACAGACCGATAGTTCTGGTTTTCGTGACCAGCAAGGTGAATGAGAAGTGGGAGCTACTGGAGTATCTCGAGCATCACGATTTGAAGCCACAGGCAGTTATGGTTTCTCGCACCGGGCATCAATGTGGGACCTCCCAGCTTGCGTCTTATAACTATGGAGTAAGCTTATCCAATCGTTTGGTTAGGTTGATGTAGTTGCTCTTAGTATCACGAAATTTTTAGCTGTGACATGCCACCCTCTTATGGAAACTTTAATCCTATGGCATTCCAGAGATACTTTGCAGACAGATTGCCGACTTTCGTTCCAGCCGTAAGATTCTAACTTTGTTTGACAAGCACATTCCTTTGAAAACGTCCAAAATCACTAAACCTAAAGCTCCCTGGCTGAAGGATGATATAAGGAATTTGATGTGTAGTAGGGATGCAGCAAGGTCTAAGTATAGAAAAAATCCGAACGATTCAAATTGGAATGCATATAAAAAACTAAAAAACAAAACCAATCATGCTATTCTACATGAAAAAAGAAAGTATTTTGATAAAATTGCTCAGAGTAAGGATAAGAAATCTTTGTGGCGAGAACTTAATTCGCTTAGTATTAAGTCACAGAAGTTAAATATTCCTATTGATTTGCAAGATGTGGAACATATAAATAACTCTTTTATTGACAGCATACCTCGTGTGGCGTCTGGTAATCATATTGCTATATATTATGATCAAAAAAAATATGTAATTCAGAGTTCAATTTCAAATTGGTATCTGAGCAAGACGTATTTGACGCATTAAGTAGGATAAAAAACACCAGACCAGGAACTCATGGTATTAGCATACATCTCGTCAAATTGTGTGTCCCGTATATTTTACCATATTTAGTACATCTTATTAATACAATTTTTCTTGAGGGAAAATATCCAAAGTGCTGGAAAGTGGCCTTAATAGTGCCAATTCCAAAATGTAAGTAAGCTGAACAGCTATCAGATCTTTGTCCAATAAGTATTCTAGCTAGTCTCTCGAAATTGGTTGAAAAAATTATTGAAATACAATTAAGAACACATATTGACAGTCAAAGTATCTTTCCAGTTGCACCACTGCACTTGCTAAAATAACTGATGATATCATTCAGTCGAATGATCTGGGTGAGTCTACCGCTTTAATACTATTAGATTTCAGCAAGGCATTTGACACAATTAACAGGTGTACCGCAAGAATCTATACTTGGACCATTGCTCTTCACTATATATACCAGTCAGATCCTTAAATGTTTGGAATTCTGTAAGTCACACGTTTATGCGGATGATACCCAGCTGTACTATTCTTTTCCTAGTTCAGATTGACCAGCTGCCGAGTTGAAAATAAACAGTGACTTGACTAACCTCTCTAAAAGATTGCAAGAGCATTCATTAATATTAAATCCAAATAAATCAGCTGCTGTGACCTTTGGTAAGGACCGTTCTTATGTGATTGAGAATTTAAATATAACCATAAATAATATTAGATTAAAATACTGTGATAAAGCTAAAAACTTAGGCTTAACAATGGATTATAATCTGAGGTTTCATGAGCACATATCAAACTGTATCAAAAAATCTTATCTGGCTCTGAAATGATTGTATTATCACCGAAATTTTCTCAATTTAGACATCAAAAGAATTCTTTGCGAAACCTTGGTTTTATCACAGTTTTTGTACTGTGTTCCAATTTATTCTGCATGTTTAGATTCTGATACATTCATGCGAATATATATGGCATAAGAAAATTTGAAAGAGTTAGTCATAAGCTGAAAGAACTCCGGTGGCTAAATATGAAGCCTCGTTTTGAGATATTCACAATATGCTTTTATCATAAAATTCTAACTCTCAGGCAGCCTCATTACCTCTACGAGAAAATCACATTTAGAAAAGACATCCATTCCGTAAATATTCGTTTGAAACAAAACGTTACCGCTCCATTCCACAGAACTAAATTTTATGAAAGATCATTTACGTATAATATATATATATATAAGCTATACAATCCTATCCCCCAGTACCTCAAATCATATGAAATTCACAAGTTCAAAGCGGTTTTCCGTGATTCTTGCCTTGAATGTATAAAGTAGAATTATTCTTACTGCGGAAGTTCAATTTTATTTTGTTTGCTTTCCATTATTTTATTTATATTTTTTTTTTCATATGATATATAAATGTACGTATATGTATTTGTATATCACTCTAGACTTTTACATTTACCACCACGTTTTCTCTTTGCTCTTTTTTCAAACTTAATTGTCGCTGATATTGGCGTTTGTGTATGCGGTATGTATGGGTATATATACTAAGTGACATATAAATCCGAACACCCAGTTTAAATGGTTTTATTTTAATAAAAGTTGGTGAATGTATTTATCTTACTGTAAATAACAAGTGAAAAAATGTTCAGCCTTATCAGTTGGACATTCCGGTTTTTATACTGCTTTTTTTTAATTCACTAACGCTCTAAAAATGAATATTTCAGCCGCAGTAAAGAATCAACGTTGGCGGATTTTGGTTCTCGACATCCTTTACGATCGGTTACGATGCCTAGAGTACGGAGACCTGTACGATTTCGTCAACTTAGTGAGTTTGATAGGGGCCGTATAGTGGGAATTCGGGAAGCTGGACTTTCTTTTCGGGCAATTGCAGTTAGAGTGCAAAGAAGTGTAGACACTGTGTTTAGGTGTTGTCAGGCATGGCTTCGAGAAGGCCGTACGCAAAGAGCAAGGGGCACTGGACGCCGCCGTAGAACAACAGACCGTGAAGATCGCCGCCTAAGACTATTGGCCTTGAGGGACCGTTTCTCCACTACCAGGTCCATTGCAAATGAAGGGTTTGCAGAACACGGAAGACCTATTGGCATTCGAAGTGTTTACCGACGAATGAGAAGTTTTGGCTTGTTTTCATACCGGCCACACTGGGTCCTCCCTTTAACTCGAGAACACCGACGTAATCGCCTTGAGTGGTGCAGACAACGGTCACTCTGGGATCAGGAATGGAACAGTATTGTCTTCAGTAACGTGTCTCGATTTTGTTTAGGCATGCACGATGGTCGTGCCAGAGTTAGAAGGCGACGTGGTGAAAGGAGGAATCCACAGTTTTTTGTTGAAAGACATGTTCATCACACTGTTGGAGTTATGGTTTGGGGTGCTATAGCTTATGGTTCCACGAAGCTCTAGAACCCCATCTTTTACCCTATCTTGACACCCTGGCAGATCCAACTTTCCAACAAGATAATGCCCGACCATATGTTGCAAGAGTCACAATAGACTTCTTTCAACATAATGATGTCACATTGTTACCATGGCCACCAAGATCTCCCGACTTAACCCCAATTGAGCACGTGTGGGATATGATGGGTAGGAGATTGCTCAATTTGCAACGTCCTCCTCAGACTCTAGAAGCACTTCGAGAGGAGTTGGTGGTTGCCTGGAATGAGATACCACAGGAGGACATTGACCACCTGATCAGAAGCATGCCTAGGCGCGTTGGAGAATGCGTAGCACATCAGGGTGCATCCACACATTATTAAAGGTCAAAGGGCTTTAAAGCAGTGCAATCATTTTGAAATTTTTATCATTTACTTATTATGCTTCATTAAGTACTTATACAAAATTTTATTAAAATAAAACCATTTAAACTGGGTGTTCGGATTTATATGTCACTTAGTATATATCTATATATTAGTCTAGACTTTCTTTGTTTTTAATTTATTACCGCATTTCTCACTTTTCTATTTTTTTTTTTAAAAAACTTACATACTCATATTGATGTTTGTATAGAGTAGAATGGGGTATTATGGCAACTTGTTTTTTATTGGACCATAAATCTGTAATGTCTCCATTCAGCCTTGCAATTTAACTGGCTAGATGGTCCTTAAAGTAAGGGGTATGGTTAACTAAGTCAGTTTTTGTGCTGGTTTGACCGTAGTTCCAATAGGAAACAAAATTCTCGAATAATGACAAATTGCCATATTCCCCCAGCATCAGGGTAATATGGCATAGGACATTGGGAAATATGGCAACATGCGATTTGCATAATAATTCATTTAATTTATGACAAAAAACATAAACAAACATATTTTTTAAGAAATGTTGTTTAACATATCAAAATATAAGTAAACCTAATCAGAATCCAAAGTTAATCTAAAATAAGTTCAAATATGTCAAATAAGAAATAAAAAGAAACTTGAACTAGAATGAAAAACAAACATTCAATTTTTCCATTTCATATCGTTTGCCAGCTGTCGAAGTGGGATACAATCCTTGCAGTATAAGTCAGATCTTGTGCAGATCTCATGGATCCAGTCTGAACACCTCGTGCATTGTATCCAATCGCATTTGGGACCCTTTTTGTAGAAATAATATCCACCGCATTCTGCACAAATTTCAGAACGGTCTACTTCTATTTCTGATTCACCACTTTCCTGTGTAACTACTTCCGTTTCGCTTTCGGACGAACTAGAATCAAATCGGGCTCTTCTACGACTTTTTTCTTTGGCAAGCTTTTTGTTACTTCCTGCCTTTTCCTTAGTATTGCTACTGTGTTTCTCATCCGTTTTTTTCATCCGTTGCTGGGATTTCATCAGTTTCGCAGATCTTTTTTTTTCTTTGGCCTCTTTTTTCTCTCGTTTTGCTGCTACTACCTCTGGTGATGTTAGTACCTCTGCATGCTGTTTTCGCTTCTGGCACCCACTCGTTCCTGGTATGCACGGAACCGCTGAAATAGCTTCAAATGGATTTTGATCTGGATCAGCTGTCTTTGGAGAACGCCCGTTGTTTTGGTTGTTGGCATCAATAATGACATGAGCGGTGGCTTCCCCAATATTTTCATCCGGTGAATTCTCATTTCTAAGAGCAGCATTTGCAGTATTTTTGCAGATAAAAGCATATTCTGGGATTTTGGATTTATCAAAAGGAAAAATACCACATGTCCTAAATCCTGATACTGCATTTTGAACTGAGGCAGCTTTACACCATGCAGTATTGAGGAGTGACGGAAACTGCAATCTGGAGAGTTTGCGACCGGGATTGTTTTGTACCCATTTCTTACATGCTTCATTCCAATAAACCTTAAGAGGCTTGAAGAATGATCTATCTAATGGCTGCAGCCAATGAGTAGTGTGGCTAGGTAGGCACAACAGAATTATGTCATTGGCTGTTGCCAGGACTAGTATTTCCACATCAGAGCAATGAGAGGAATGACCGTCAAGGACGAGGAGTACTTTGCCTTGTTCTTTACGTGGAATAAAGTGATGAAGAAGCCATGCTTTGAAAATATCCGTAGTTACATACGCCGATTTTTCACTCATTACAACTGTACCACCTGGTGGCAATCCGTCTTCAAATTCTTTTTTCTTGTTTTTTCCCTTCATAATACAGTAGGGTGGAAGGAAATGACCTTCTGCATTCACGCAGGCTATAACTGACACAGTCTCACCTTTCTCTGCACTTGTTACACAATTTACCATTTTGGAACCTCTGGTAGCAATTACCTTTCCTGGGTTGTTATTTAGCTGAACCCCAGTTTCATCTACATTGAAAATTTTTCTGGGAGCGGATATTAGGTTATTTTCTGTTAAAAGGTTCCCGAGCAGGTCAAAGTAATGATCGCATTCTTCTTTGTTGATACCTTGAGCTCGAGCCGTTGACATTCCCTGAGCTTTTCGAATGGATAAATTTGGATGTCTCTTCATAAAAGAGCAGAACCAGTAATGGCCAGCTTCTTTTTTCTCCGGATTAAAATTATTTTCTATGTTATTACAGATGGTAAAAGAGTACGCAATCTTTTTTACGTCTACAGGTGTTAACGCAAAACCCATCTTCTCCATTTTTTTGATATAATCTACCAAGCTTCGTTCATGTTCTGGACTTAGATAACTCTTACGCCCTAACTTGACCTTGTTTGCGTTTCCTGATTGGATCCTCCTCATTAAGGTCCTAACAGGCACAGCATATGTCCGACTTATTTGCCTTATTGAACCACGACCACATCTAACATCCGAGATTGCATTTATCAGATCTTCTGCCGACCACATGGCCCTCACATTTTTCTTGGTGTAATTTCGTGGCATCTTCTTTACTCTGAAATTTTAAAATGGTAAATGATACATACTGGGATAATATGCCGCATTTTGGGGTAATATGGCAGTATTATGGCATATTACCCCAAAGCGTATATTCCAGATTTAGCAAATCATAAACTCATGTCTAGTGAAATCTGGTTATCCTACGTGGCATAAAAAGTTAGGTTATGTACCGCAGATTCCATGGTCCCTACTGGAAATAGCATCAAAATACTTACAACTGCATTCACATCGGCAAAAATCTTATTAAAAAATAATTTGAGCAATGTACTTACCTTGTATTTACGTATTTTTTCCTAAATACTGTTAAATACTCCTCTTTGAATATTTTCCGCGATGAAAACAGCAAATCAACGTGCACTTGACACCTACCTGGACGCCCCCTCGCGATTTACAACGGAAATATTGAACTGCGGCGTATTACCCATGGTGCCATATTACCCCACTTTACTCTATGCTTGATGGATGTCTTTACTGGCATAATGTTTCTTACAATTTCAAGGGATGAGTGGAAGAGCACTAGATAGTGAACTCCCCTTGTGGTTTTCAGACAGTCGACATTTGTTTTATTTATTTTTTTATATTTTCCTTTTTTTTGGTTAATACTCATGTTTCTCTTTCTGATTTTTTTTGAGAACTGTTTGGAAATAAGGGCATTTATTATTATTATTATTATTATTATTATTATTATATGCGTCCTAATGCCGAAACGGGTGTTTCCCATGGATCAGTCTTGGCTAATATTGCATATCAACGACCTCCTCTTCCGTACGGTCAATCTAATCCATAGCCTTGTTCTTGAGAGGTCTGTGAGTTATCACTGCTTGAGGATGCAGCAATCTGATACAGTTAAATGCTTCCAGTACTGTACTTTTTCTGTTTGTCCTTAAGAAGTTCTTTTCTGCACATAGCCTGATAGTTCCGGCTACGTCCCAGCCTAGAGTACTGCTCACATGCTTGGGAGGCTGTCGTCCCGACCATATTGTCCAAACTTTATGCTGTTCGACTAATCGATGACAGTTACCTAAAGAGGGTAGTAAAGAGAGAGTTAGCGAACTGCGTATACTGCAATGGAGAATGTAGTATATTGGTTGACTACCAGGAGCGGCTGGAATTGACGCTCGACGAGAAGATCACTGCTGACAATTTTGCTTCGTATGTAAGCAAGGGCAGATGGGTCAAGATTTACCCGGTAGTGAGACGGATTATACTGAACAAGGTGTAGTCACATTGTTTCGGTATTTAACGTTTTACCTACGCGTACTGCATCAGTATGGAAAAAATGTTGGCACAGTGTGTAGAGCATTTTGCAATCGAGGTCTTCAAAGGATCTTAGTGAGATGAGACCCTCAGGCACTCCACAGTTATAATTATCTAATCTTCACCGCAACAATGCCGCATAAGGAATAAATGGGTTTCAGCCCCAAAAGTACGATTGCACCCCTCCTCTCTCCTACATCTCCTACACTACCGATTCACGCGCACATTGTATATAACGTTATTTGGTTACCAAATGGGTTACATTATAACCTGCCGTCGCCGTAAAATCGTGGCGTTTCCGGTGCAGCACAGAACACATGAGTTCCAGGCGCCTTCGCTTGCCTGTGCCTGGTAATCTTATTATTAAAACACGAGAAGTTGTTGTTTTGTGTGCAAGAAGCGTTCGCTCGCCAGGCTACGATTCGGACCACGATGTGTATCCTGTTTCCGCTAATTATCAAATGTTAGTTATCAGGCAGTGCGAATAACGGGGTTTAGCTTGTTAATTGGATGCTGTTTTGCAGAAATATAGAATTAGATCTGTAGAAGTCACGCAACAAAAGACAGTACTAGTAGTGATAGTTGAAGACGGTTCATTTTCTTTGTATTAGCCCTTCTGTGCTCACAGGAAAGACACTATAGTTAGCTTCTAACAGCTCAGTTGGAGACATGAAGCTCTAAAACAAAACAGCAATCGTTGGCAATGGCATGACGAGAGGAGAGAAGAACAGAAAAGAACATAAATTCTATTATTCTAAAACAGTTCCACATTCCATTACAATATGTATAAAAAATAACATTTATGTACATTAAACAATCAACAATAATAATAATAATAATAGTAATATAAGTTTATTCACGAATAAGATATTACAATTTATTCAATATATCGTATACATATATATATATATACTGCTCACGTATATATATATATATATATACTAGCAGTAGTTATTGCCATTACCGACGACCAGTTGGACAAAAAATACAATTAAGTGTTAATTGGGAAGTTGGCAAAATTTTAGGCTTTATTAAACTCTTTTAACCGTAATCTCGAGTTTTCGGTATTCAGGAGCTGAAAACACAATTATGATGCTAGCAACCAATACGGGAAGGATTTAAATTGTCAGACAACTTAATCGTCATTGAGGTTGCAGCCAAATGGTGTTCATATTTGTAAATATGTATTTGTAATGCGTTTTAATTTGTTCCTGACATACAACTGTGTGTATTTTATATTAATTTTAACGAATTTACCATGTATCCAGCTTTCACCAGGCTACTAAATGTTTCCCTAAACTTAAACGTTAATAACATTTAGCAACAATCTCACATACTATTGCAAGTTAATTTACAATCATTTTGCACAATAGTTGCTATTTCTTCTCAATGTTATTGCAGCTCCTGATGATGATGGCAATGTCCATTGACAGCTAGATACTAATAAAGTATAAAGAGACCTCATTGCTTGAATATTGTGGAAGTACCCAACTAAAGGCGGAAGTTTTATTTTTCACCTAAACTGCTCTAGGCGTCAATGACAACGTCTCAAGTTTATATATATATATATATATATATATATATATAGGCAAATAAACTGAAATAATCCCACATTCTTGTGTGCAGGAAAATATTTTTCAAAAGGGTTTTTGCTTTGAACATAGTTAAATATAGTTAATACATAAATTTAGGCACAACATATAACCATAAAGCTAAGTGCATTAACATTACATTTGAAAACTAATTAACTTTCATTTGAGTGAGTTTTGCAATTTCATGTAGATAACAAGAATTTTCTTATTTCAATTTTGAATATTATCGCTGGGTCATCTGCGAAGCATAATATTGTGCCTTGCGACTTCAAGATAAGTAGGCTCTTGATATATACAGTAAAAAATAACTGACATAAAACTGTCCCTTGTGGTACACCATAAGTCACAAGTTCTGAACTTATGGAATTATTTATTTGAACATATTGCTTTCTGAAGGACGGGAAGTTTGTATCTCATGGACGGTGGAACCGATACAACAGATTATGTTCTTTGTTTTGAAATATAATGCTCAACGTCTGATTACATATTGGGAGAGATTCCTCCAAGAGAAGATTATTGATGTCTATCTACTAGGTCTGTAAATTAAACAATAAGAGTGATTTTTTTTTTAGATTTTTTATTCAAATATTTTATATTGTCACCCTCAAAATAACTACCATCTGAAGCCACATCGCACTGGAACTTCGATACTGGAACAGCTTTCAGCTGGCCGGTTACAGCCGTTTGAATGTTTTCGTCAGTCCCAAGTTCCCTTGTGGTGATTTTTCGAGCTTCGAGAGAAAAAAAATACAAGGACACAATTCAGGCAAATAAGGAGGCCAAGAAGCCACAGGAATGTTACTGGCCAAAAACTCGTTCATTGCCATTGCTGTGTGACAAGTAGTATCTATTATCGTGATGCTTCAGCCAGTTATTCTTGATGCTTGGTCTCACACGAATTACATCGTTACTCGAAGTTCATTCATCATTTTTAGAACACAATACAAAAACTATTTTACAAAAAAAAAATCGTTCAAACTTGTACTGAGGGCAAATCACATGCCCCCTTTCACCCCTCCAAGCCCATCGCCTCAAGTATTGTCCGATCGACATGTTCGTCTTCTGTCTTTGTAACCACGAACAACCGTAGGCAGTGCTGTTTCGTGCCTATTAGCAACTCATTGGTACAGTATACGTCTAGACATTATGGAGATAGCAAGCCATTGGTAGGTGGAGATCGTCAGATTTCTTACCTACCCCCGCACTGTATTATGAAGATTATTATCATTTTTGAAAAGCTTATACTATACCGGCATAAATATAAACCATGATTGCTATGAGTAAGCATCTAGAAAGTCTCACTATATGACGAAACTCAGTAAAACTCGCTTCGTTATGATTGAAACAAGTCTCGCATGACGTTTTCATAAGGTGCGTGTAACTATACCTGCTCTCCCCTCCACCTGAGCTATTTTAATGCCTATCATTTAATTGCTGATAGAAAGCCTAAATCATAGGCAACCAGTAGTTACCGTGGTAATAGGTAAATAGGAGCCTAGTGAATTGACTATGGATTGGTCGTCATTCCACAAAACCAGTAGCGGCAAAGGGTTAACCAGAAATCCAACCCCTTACGTCACTCAAACACAATTCCAGCCCCAGCTAACATTCTGAGTTAATTCCCCATTAACAAACCTGATAGTTGTTAAAATGTGTGTCTGCACCGCCTACTCGGACCGAGAGACAACGATGCAGGTCCTGCTCCTGCCAACCGCGCTCGCCGACGTTCATTTGTTACTGTCACTGACGCCGGCCGCAGCCTGCTTGATAACGGGGATGAGTATCTGTTGCAGCACCGCCACCGGCCACCCAACATCCAGTTCTGCAGCCATTCCGATTCTGACTGGATAATCCCCACGTACCTACACAACGGGCGGACAATCTTGCAGCTATAGGTCGGTCGATAGTGGTCACTGTATAATGTGATAGGGATGTAGCGAATGTTAATTTTTAGACATTCGCGAAAGAGAATGAGAATATCTACTGGCGGTATACGTGAATGCGAATGACGAATACTCCTTTTTCCTTCTTTACACATCACATCAAAACGTATTTGACGGGGAGGAGACTGCGAAGTTTTTACTTTAGGAGTTTGATATTCCTCTACTTCAGCTTGATTATTGAATTGCTGTTCAAAAAATAAGTA